TTATTCTTTTTGTTGCAATGGTAAATGGGAGTGTTTCCTTAATTTCCCTTTCAGATTTTTCGTCATTAGTGTATAGGAATGCAAGAGATTTCTGTGCATCAATTTTGTATCCTGCAACTTTACCACATTCATTGATTAGCTCTAGTAGTTTTCTGGTGGCATCTTTAGGATTCTCTATGTATAGTATCATGTCTTCTGCAAACAGTGACAGTTTTAATTCTTCTTTTCCAATTTGTATTCCTTTTATTTCTTTTTCTTCTCTAGTTGCCGTGGCTAAGACTTCCAAAACTATGTTGAATAATAGTGATGAGAGTGGACCTCCTTGTTTTGTTCCTGATCTTAGAGGAGATACTTTCAGTTTTTCACCATTGAGAATGGTGGGTTTGTCGTATATGGCCTTTATTATGTTGATGTAGTTTCTCTCTATGCCCACTTTCTGGAGAATTTTTATCATAAATGGGTGTTGACCATTTTCGAAAGCTTTTTCTGCATCTATTGAGGTGATCATATGGTTTTTATTCTTCAATTTGTTAATATGGTGTATCACATTGATTGATTTGCGTATATTGAAGAATCCTTGCATCCCTGGGATAAATCCCACTTGATCATGGTGTATGATCCTTTTAATGTGTTGTTGGATTCTGTTTCCTAGTATTTTGTTGAGGATTTTTGCATCTATATTCATCAGCGATATTGGTCTGTAATTTTCTTTTTTTGTAGTATCTTCGTGTGGTTTTGGTGTCAGGGTGATGGTGGCCTCGTAGAATGAGTTTGGGAGTGTTCCTTCCTCTGCAGTTTTTTGGAAGAGTTTGTGGTGGTTGGGTGTTAGCTCTTCTCTAAATGTTTGATAGAATTCACCTGTGAAGCCATCTGGTCCTGGACTTTTGTTTGTTGGAAGATTTTTAATCACAGTTTCAATTTCATTACTTGTGATTTATCTGTTCATATTTTCTATTTCTTTCTGGTTCAGTCTTGGAAGGTTAAACCTTTCTAAGAACTTATCCATTTCTTCCAGGTTGTCCATTTTATTGGCATAGAGTTGGTGTAGTAATTTCTTAAGATGGTTTGTATTTCTGCGGTGTCTGTTGTAACTTCTCCTGTTTCATTTCTAATTTTATTGATTTGAGTCATCTCCTTTTTCTTGATGAGTCTGGCTAATGGTTTATCAGTTTTGTTTATCTTCTCAAAGAACCATCTTTTAGTTTTATTGATCTTTGCTATTGTTTTCTTTGTTTCTATTTCATTTATTTCTGCTCTGATCTTTATGATTTCTTTCCTTCTGCTAACTTTGGGTTTTGTTTGTTCTTCTTTCTCTAGTTCCTTTAGGTATAAGGTTAGACTATTTATTTGAGATTTTTCTTGTTTCTTGAGGTAGGCTTGTATTGCTATAAACTTCCCTCTTGAAATGCTTTTGCTGCATCCCACAGGTTTTGGATCATCGTATTTTCGTTGTCATTTGTCTCTAGGTATTTGATTTCCTCTTTGATTTCTTCAGTGATCTCTTGGTTATTTAGTAACATATTGTTTAGCCTCCATGTGTTTGTGTTTTTTATGTGTTTTTCCCTGTAATTGATTTGTAATATCATAGCGTTGTGGTCAGAAAAGATGTTTGATATCATTTCAATTTTCTTAAATTTACCGAGGCTTGATTTGTGACCCAAGAGGTGATCTATACTGGAGAATGTTCCGTGTGTACTTGAGAAGAAAGTGTAATCTGCTGTTTTTGGATGGAATGATCTATAAATATCAATTAAATCTTTCTGGTCTATTGTGTCATTTAAAGCTTGTGTTTCCTTAATAATTTTCTGTTTGGATGATCTGTCCATTGGTGTAAGTGAGGTGTTAAAGTCCCCAACTATTATTGTGTTACTGTCGATTTCGTCTTTTATAGCTGTTAGCAGTTGCCTTATGTATTGAGGTGCTCCTATGTTGGGTGCATATATATTTATAATTGTTATATCTTCTTCCTGGATTGATCTCTTGATCATTATATAGTGTCCTTCCTCGTCTCTTGTAAGATTCTTTATTTTAAAGTCTATTTTATCTGATATGAGTATTGCTGCTGCAGCTTTCTTTTTATTTCCATTTGCATGGAATATATTTTTCCATCCCCTCACTTTCAGTCTGTATGTGTCCCTAAGTCTGAAGTGGGTCTCTTGTAGACAGCATGTATATGTGTCTTGTTTTTGTATCCATTCAGTGAGCCTGTGTCTTTTGCTTGGAGCATTTAATCCATTCACATTTAAGGTAATTATCTATATGTATGTTCCTATTATCATTTTCTTAATTGTTATGGGTTTGTTTTCATAGGTCCTTTCCTTCTTTTGCGTTTCCTACTTAGAGAAGTTCCTTTAGCATTTGTGTAGAGCTTGTTTGGTGGTGCTGAATTCTCTTAGCTTTTGCTTGTCTGTAAAGCTTTTGATTTCTCCATCAAATCTGAATGAGATCTTTGCCGGGTAGAGTAATCTTGGTTGTAGGTTCTTCCCTTTCATCACTTTACATATGTCATGTCACTGCCTGTTGCCTTGTAGAGTTTCTGCTGAGAAATCAGCTGTTAACCTTATGGAAGTTCCATTGTATGTTATTAGTCGTTTTTCCCTTGTTGCTTTCAATAATTTTTCTTTGTCTTTAATTTTTGTCAATTTGATTACTATGTGTCTCGGCATGTTTCTCCTTGGGTTTATCCTGCCTGGGACTCTCTGCACTTCCTGGACTTGGGTGGCTATTTTCTTTCCCATGTTAGGGAAGTTTTTGACTATAATCTCTTCAAATACTTTCTCGCATCCTTTCTCTCTCTCTTCTCCTTCTGGGACCCCTATAATGCGAATGTTGTTGCATTTAATGTTATCCCAAGGGTCTCTTAGGCTCTCCACATTTCTTTTCAATCTTTTTTCTGTTCCACAACAGTGAATTCCACCATTCTGTGTTCCAGGTCGCTTATCCGTTCTTCTGCCTCAGTTATTCTGCTACTGATTTCTAGTGTATTTTTCATTTCAATTATAGTAGTGTTCATCTCTGTTTGTTTGTTCTTTAATTCTTCTAGGTCTTTGTTAAACATTTCTTGTATCTTCTCAACCTTTGCCTGCATTCATTTTCCGAGGTCCTGGATCATCTTCACTATCATTATTCTGAATTATTTTTTCTGGAAGGTTGCCTATTGCAACTTCATTTAGTTGTTTTTCTGGGGTTTTATCTTGTTCCTTCATCTGGTACATAGCCCTCTGACTTTTCATGTTATCTGTCTTTCTGTGAATGTGGTTTTTGTTCCACAGGCTGCAGGATTGTAGTTCTTCTTGCTTCTGCTGTCTGCCCTCTGTGGATGAAGCTATCTAAGACGCTTGTGCAAGTTTCCTGATGGGAGGGACTGGTGGTGGATAGAGCTGGCTGTTGCTTTGGTGGGCAGAGCTCAGTCAAACTTTAATCCTCTTGTTTGCTAATGGGTGGGGCTGGGTTCCCTCCCTCTTGGCTGTTTGGCCTGAGGCGACCCAACACTGGAGCCTACCTGGGCTCTTTGGTGGGACTAATGGGAGACTCTGGGAGGGCTCATGCCAAGGAGTACTTCCCAGAACTTCTGCTGCCAGTGTCCCTGTCCTCACGATGATACACAACCACCCCCGGCTCTGCAGGAGACCCTCCAACACTAGCAGGTAGGTCTGGTTCAGTCTCCTATGGGGTCACTGCTCCTTCCCCTGGGCCCCAATGTGCACACTACATTGTATGTGCACTCCAAGAGTGGAGTCTCTGTTTCCCCCAGTGCTGTCGAAGTCCTGCAGTCAAATCCCGCTAGCCTTCAAAGTCTGATTCTCTAGGAATTCCTCCTCCCGTTGCCGGCCCCCAGGTTCAGAAGCCTGACATGGGGCTCAGAACCTTCACTCCAGTGGGTGCACTTCTGTGGTATAAGTGTTCTCCAGTTTGTGTGTCACCCACGCAGCAGTTATGGGATTTGATTTTATTGTGATTGCACCCCTCCTGCCATCTTATTGTGGCTTCTCCTTTTTCTTTGGATGTGGGGTATCTTTTCTGGTGAGTTCCAGTGTCTTCCTGTCAATGATTGTTCAGCAGTTATTTGTGATTCCAGTGCTCTTGCAAGAGGGAATGAGAGCACGTCCTTCTACTCCACCATTTTGAACCAATCTCTCTTTAACATCTTATTGGAATATAATTGCTTTACAATGGTGTGTTAGTTTCTGCTTTTGATAAGTAGATAGATTTGATGAAACCCCGAGTTCATATAGAACAGTGGAGGATTAGATTGTAAAGACAGAGGGGACGTGGATGGGGAAGAACTTTTGATTCTGAGCTAAGTATGGGAATTTCTTCTAAAAGGAAATGATTGAAGGATTTTGAACCAGGGAATTACACTTGGAAAGAGCTACATAAGTGCAGCCTAGCAGTAGTGTACATGATGGATTGGAAGGGGAAGAGACTCTAGGCAGGCAGAATAGTTAGAAGGCTATTGAAATAATCTGTGCATGAAATGGTAAAGACCCAGAATAAAATCCTATAATTTCTAAATGTAGGACCTTCAAATTATCTAGTGCAGTGGCTTTCAAGTTTTTTTTTTTAACCATGAGCCATAGTTCAGAAATGTTTTACATATACACATACTTATAAAAAAATGTTTAACAGAACAATATTTATCCTTGATACTTATGATGACATTTGACATTTTTTGGCTCCGTTCTTTTTACATTTTAGAAATGCTGATGGGAACACATTATATTTATTTTAAGATTTTCTAACAGGTTGTGACTTGCTGTTTGAAAAACATGGATCAGGTGCAACCCCTTTAGTTTTCGGAAGAGAAACTAAGATAGAAAGAAACCAAGAGACTTGCTCTGGTCCCACTGCTCATAATTAGAGACCAGTTCCATGAATGTCCATTGCACCACACTAAGGTTAGGATGGGACTGTGGTAGAAATAGACCTGAGAGTAATTTTACAGGAGAAATAAACAAAACAAACTGGGAAAAATCAAAGTCAACGGCAGTTTTATTCTTGGTTAATTGGGTGAACTGATTTGCCATAAAATACAGGTGTCTGAAGAAGGACTATCCTGGGATAAAATTATGAGTTCACATTGAGGTTCAGCGGGCAGAGGGATAGACACACTGCCTAGCAGGCAGAGAGAGCTGTAAGACTAAGTATTCAAATGAAAAAAATCTTGTCAGTCATCTATTTGGGAATGACTAGATGGCATTTGACCTAATAAGTATATATTGAATACCTCTCCTATTCATGGCCATGTTATAGATACTGGAGATTCAAAGATGAGCAAAATCAGGTCCCTGTACTTGAGAAGCTCTTATTCAAAAGTTTGTTGATAGTATCATACTTCCTTGGAATTAGTCACTCTTGTTGCTAAAAATTCAGTAAAATTCATTTTAAAAACTTTAAAATTCATTTTAAAAACCTTAAGATTTTTTAATCTTCTACAGTTTGATCCAATAACTTTACGCCTGCCTTTACATCAACTTGCACTGTTTTTTTCAGCAATAATGCATTTGTGTGTGTGTTTGTGTGTGTGTGTGTGTGTGTGTGTGTGTGAAGTGTCTTTCCTTTTGACATCCACCAATATTCCTTAAGGTGGCAAGTTGCTTCTTACCAGATTACATCGGAAAAGAAACAGCTTCTGACAGGGAAATGAGCAGCTGGGTGGCAGCCTACAGCAACTCTGTTATTTTGCACTGATATAGCATTTTAATATAAATGGCTGAAATGCAACCTGAAAATAGTTATTCATCACAAACAACCACAAAGCTGGTTAACATTTAAGCTGTTATGTTTGTGGGTTGATTTCTTTCTAGGTGCTTCCCTTCCTTTAATGATAATGACGGTGATTTTCACACTGCCCATTGGAGGGAGGAAGAAGAGGTAGTGAAACCAGGGCTCAAACATTGTAGCGTTGAGAAAAATCTGCAGCAGTACCTGAGGAGAGTCCAGGATCCCTAATACCCAATCCATTTGATCTTTTTTTCTGTTTTACCCAGATAACTTAGAGTTTTACCCTTAGGGAAAATGAAACAGAGAAACTGTTTGGCCATCATGGAGTCAGAATTTAAATCATTGGCACCGCTTACATATAATTCCTGTTCTGGGTTTTATTCCAGGTTCAGAAGGTCTTAATACTCTGAACTCTTTAAGTTTGTATGATCTTTGAATCTATAAAGTCAACATACTGCTTCCTAACATATCAATTTTACAGACTTTTGGAGAAATTTTCTAGCCATCTCTCTCTGCTCTCCTAAGAGATCCTTGACTGTGCCTTTTCTCACACTACTCCATGGGTCAGTCTTATGAACTATCATGTTAAAGGAACATTTCAAGTTCCTTGAAAGTACACATTAAAGTACACATCTCACCCTTGCTACTCAGCATACCTAACAAAAATGGGCATCCCAAATAATTTGATAGCATGAGATGGAGGGTTATGCCACAGGAAAAGAAGAGAGAAGTAGGAGAGACACGTATAGTTAACAGCAAAGCAGGGTATTTCGAAACTGCTATTTTGATGAGATTGCATGATGCAATTTGTGTGTGTGTGTGTGTGTGTGTAGATATGAGCAACAAATATTTTAACCATTCATCCCATACCTGGGAATTACTTCATCTTTGATGAGGTGAGACTCAGTGAAAGATGAGACTAGAGATCGGATAAGGGTTCTAGTGAGGTTCAAAGATATGGGGAAATGATCTCATATCAACAGTACTTCATTTTTTAAAAAATAACTTTTATAACTGAGCTTTTCAGGTTGCATCAAAATTTCATACATCAAAAGAGACTAAATAAAATAGATGTGCCAAAGTATCTTTTGTGTCAAAATGGTTGACTTAAAGAAGCTTGTAACCTGATGTAGTAGAGTGGTTCACCCTCAGGGGACATTTGGCACAGTCTGGAGACATTTTAGATTGTCACAGCTTGGAAGGAGTTTGTTTGCTACTGGTGTCTAGTAGGTAGAGACTGGGAATGCTGTCAAACACCCTCCCATGCAGAGGAAAGATCCCTCCCCTGCCCTGTACCACAACAGAGTGTCAATAGGTGAGGAAACACAGAATTAGACTGATAAAGGTGAGAGAACTGGGAGATTGGCTGATGAGAGAGTATAAGTGTGAAAACAGAAGAGAGAACAACATAGATAGATTTTCTCCCAAAGGCTTCTTTTATACTTATTTTAGTTTTCCATACATGATAAACAATTCATCTTGCCTCAATAAGTCTCTCATTGAATTCTTGCCCACCACCTGACTCTGATCTTGACCTCGTGAGTCCACTTCTGGGAATTTATCTTATGGAAATAATCCAAAAGAAAGACACGGTCATAGGCATGTTCTTTGCCGTGTTATTTATAACCTAAAATCTAACCCTACTGAAAGATAAATTGATCTAGAGGTCATAATGTAGCATGCAAGAGAAACTGTAGATTTTGCTATCAGAACTAAAATTCAGAAGAGTGGTTGAAGCAGGTAATATAAATTTGAAGAATTAATGTTACCCTAAGATTCAATGTATCTATATCTCTAAATGAACTTTAATCTGCTCTGATTTCTTACCTATCTGGTTGGCAGAAAACTGAACCTAAGTTATTATTGAGGCTCCCCAAGCCCACATTCAATGTGGTCATAAAAGAATCTTGAGCATGTTTGAGGCTGGAAAATGGGAGAAACTAGGCTCTTAATTTGAGAGGGTCTGTGTCTTCAGTGTTGCTTCTTTTGCTTTTTCTATTATGTGATACTGCTTTTGAGCCTTGGTACCCAGAACACAAATGCACTCAGAGATGCTCTCTCAGCCTTCATCCTCTCTACCCATTGTGGGCCTTGGAGGGGTGCCATATGGAACCAGGGACTGAGTCTAGCCACCCCCACTTGCTTTGAGGTGCTTCAGCTTCCTTCTGGTCAGTCCTGTTCCATCTGCCTTTTCTCTCAAAAAATGTCTTCTTTGTGAGCAGGAAACACCAAAGCTACTGTTCCCCATTTCTCTTGAAGTCAAAGAAGATATTTAGAAGCACAATAAAGCATTTCCCTGGATTTGGAAGTAAAAAAATGAGAATCACAATTATCAGTTTCTTTCTTGATAACTTGCTTTTTACATTACAGGACACACCTAATAACAAAAGATATGGGAAAGTAGTAGAAAACTATAAGCAAGAAAAATTAGAAAGCACACAGCAAAAAGTTGAAGATACCTTACTTCTAGTGAGTGTTTTAGATAGAACGAGGAAGCCAATGAAAAGGTAGAAAATTTTAATTAAAGAGATGGGATAATATTCCAGGAAGCTGCAGGCATTGGTTATAATCAAATTTCCCAGAAATTCCAGAAAGATGGAGGGTTACAAAATCTGACAATTTACTTGAATTTGATCTCAAAGAGAGCACCAAGACTATGAAATCTTCAAGAGTGCAATTTCAGGAGTGTAATAAAAGTTAGGAGATTGTCCATAGGAATAAGAGGGTAATAGGTGCTTAAAAATGAAGGCAGTTTGGGCTTCCCTGGTGGCGCAGTGGTTGAGAATCTGCCTGCTAATGCAGGGGACACGGGTTCGAGCCCTGGTCTGGGAAGATCCCACATGCTGCGGAGCAACTAGGGCCGTGAGCCACAGCTACTGAGCCTGCGCGTCTAGAGCCTGTGCTCCGCAACAAGAGAGGCCGC